GAGAGAGAAGAGAGAGAGAGAGATAGAGAGAGAGAGAGAGAGAGAGGATGAAATAGAGAAAAGAGAGAAAGCAGAAAGTAGAGAGAGGAGCAGAATGTAAGAAAGGAAAAAAAAACACACCCACCATAAAAAATACAGCCCCCCTCCCATTTGCCTAGCACCGTACGCCACCCAAACCAACAAAACAGCCAGAGACAGCCACCTCTCCAAGTTCAAAAACAACCCAAACCAGCCTGCAAACAAGCTAGACCAACCACAAAAACAAAGCAAACAACCCGAACAAGCCGAGAAAAAACCACTCTCAAGTCAAACAACCCCAAAACAAGGGCAAACCACCCTAGAACAAACCAAACAAACCGAAACAAGACCGAGAAAAACGCCACACAAAACAACCCAACCACCCCAGGCAAACCAACCCTAACCAGCCAAAACAAGCCAAACAACCCCCCCACCCCAACCCCCCCCCCCCAACTCGCCTCCCCCCGATCCCAACAAAGCAGAGAGCGACAACAGGAGCCACCGATGTTGCGTCACCGCCAGCCGTAGATACGAGGCCGAAATGACAGCGCGAGAGACAGCTGTTCTGGGACGGCGCGTTGGGCTGTGGTGACGTAATCAGTGCGTGTGAGACTCCCTGGGGTGGACTCCTTCTTTCACGCTTCTTCTCCCTCTGTTTATCTTTTTATTCTTCTTCGTCTCGTTGAGGGTACTTTTGTTTTTTATTTTTGATTCTTTTGCCTCTGTTTATTCCTTTCTTCTTCGTCTTGTTCGGGGTACTTTTTCTTTTCTTTTTAATTCTCTTGTCTCTGTTTATTCCTTTCTTCTTCGTCTCGTTGGGGGTACTTTTTATTTTCTTTTTAATTCTCTTGTCTCTGTTTATTCCTTTATTCTTCGTATTTTTCTTTTCTTTTTTAATTCTCTTGTCTCTGTTTATTCCTTTCTTCCTCGCCTCGTTGGGGGTATTTTTTCTTTTTATTTTTAAATTCTTTTGTCTCTGTTTATTATTTTTCTTCCTCGTCTCGTTGGGGGTACTTTTTATTTTATTTTTTAATTCTCTTGTCTCTGTTTATTCCCTTCTTCCTCGTTGCGTTGAGGGTACTTCTTTTATTCTTCTTTTGCCTATATTCCTTCTTTTATTCTTGTTTTTGAAGGTATCTTTTTATTTCTATTTCCCTCTATTCATTTAACCCTGTCATTCTTTTCTTATATTTCTTCTTTTCTCTTTGTCGGTGTTCTATTTTCTTCTTATTATTTATCTTATATTCATCCTTTTCTTCGTTATTTGTTGGGTATATCTTTAATTTTTTTTTCTTAATTTCTTCTATGTCTTCTTTTTTGCTGGAGTATCTATTTTTCTTATTCTTATTTCTTCCTTTCTTTTCTTCCTCTCTTTTTTCGTAGCAACTTTTCCATCTACTTTGTTTATAATGATTTCTTTGTCGCATTCTCGCTTCCTTCTCTTTCTCTCTTCCTTCTCTGTCTCTCCTTTCCCTTTTCTCACCCTTTCTCCTTCCTCTCCTTATTCCTCCACGATTATTACTTCTCACCTTTCCTCCTACCTTTCAATTTTCTTAATTTTCACCAATTCCATCATCATCAAACCGCTTTCTCCACTTCCTTTATCGCCCCTTAAATATCTTCCTTCGTGTCTTTTCAGTGTATCATGGCGCCCGCAAAATTTATCAAATTAAAAAAATACCCGTTGATGTTTGAACTTTGCCCCCTTTAGACAGCAGTAAAGGAAA